TTAAAACACACAATAAACTCAAAATTTTTAGCCAACGTTCAGTTTTGTTCACATGACAGTTACAACAAAGACGGTTCATGTGTATGTGATGTTGACTACACGGGTAACTTTTGTTTGAATCGAAAATGTCGAAGCTTTGGATTCGATGGATACCTGCCAAAGAATCCGGTAAAAGTGGATCGTTGTATTTGCCCACCAGGATTTCTAGGAAGAAATTGTGAACCAGGTTTGTGTCTACGCTGGTGATTCTTTGTTTTGAAAAATGTGTTTTAGTGTCCTGTGTGTCCGGAAAGAGCCAAGTTTACTCAAGTTTGAAAACTGAAAAAACCATTTCTCTACTTGCTTCATACAACGTAAAATTGCAAAAAATCTGGGAAAATGGAGATATCGGACAATTGATTTGCAACGAAACTGACTACGCAAGAAACTTCAATTACAATTATGAGAATGCCACTCTTTACACAGTAAGAAGCATCATAGTTTGAAGCGATACTGAGATTTTGGAATTTTTCAGAAAAACGAAAATAGTTTATCTTGTGTCGCCAAGCTCAACCAATACTTAACTGCTGACAGTTGTACAGACGATGATGAGAAACCAATTGCTTGCATTCCATTGGATATCAACAATTTGAACTCAATTGTTCAATATTCACCTCCAAATTCAATTGTTAGTTATTCTTGTTTTGGAAAAAGTTTCTAGGACAACTTGCTCTAAACAATTTTCCTTTTTTGGGAAAATGCGTTCCCAAAATTTTTCTCAAAGTATTTTTCCGAAAATTCTTTGGGGAATGGATAACTTTCAAATTGCTTTTTCACGGTGTTGTTTTGATTGAATTTTCAAAATACTGAAAAAACAGTAAAAAATTGGCAAAATTAGGTAGAGAAATTTTCAAAAAAAAGGATACGGTAATGTTAACGTTTTTCTGATGAAATATATTAATTATAATCAACCGTAGGAAAAATGTTCCAAGAAACTGCAAAAAAACGGAATTCTCCATTTTCTGATTCAAACAATCATTTTTTGTTATTAGTCAAAACAATATCTAATACCAACTTTTCAGGTTTTCGTGGTTACCAATATGGCTGTCAGTTCTATAACCGGCGATATTGTTGAAGATATCATTGCTACTTCGATTGCCCGCAGAATTCAGGTACAATGTCCCATATTTCAGAAGTTCAAGTTATTTTTTGCAGATCAATGTTCTTGTCTACAACAACACCGGATTCCAGGCTGATGACCCGAGTCTGGCAACTCTGAGTAACATTGCAGCTGCTACTCTCGGTCAATATATCTTGCCAAGTATCGAAAATGGCAATGAGCAATATGCAGTAAGTAAAGTAATGGTTAATACGGAATAATTGTTTTCAATAGATTGTAAATGCTCTTTTGGAAAATTGGGATCAAGGCTATCAACCGACCAAAGTTTTCACAGGTGGAATCAAAACCTTACCTGTTGATACTTCAAAAGATATCTACGTGGCAGCTCAGTTGAGCTATGGACAAAGTACGATATTTCACACATTTTATGAACGAAATTTTACATTTTTGCAGACGCTGTTTTCAGTGTGGATTTACCGCCAACTGTTGTTCAAAAAACCGACTTCTGGAAACTTTATAAGTTCGTCTAATTAAAAGGAATAATTAAAAACAAGCGACTTTTAGGTTGACTGCCGGATCGTACCACCCACAGCTTTCAGCGTCTAACCAGACCTCTGACACGCCGATTATTGTTTATACCACCGGAGATCTCGTCGCTTATTCTGCTTTCACAAGTGATGAAAACAGAACTGCAGATGTTGTTGATAGTGCATTCAGTGTTTCTGTCAATCGTGTGTTTCGAAAAATAAGTCATTTGTAATTGTGTTCATTCAGAAACATCTTACTCGATGGTGGTGAAGCTGGAATCTGAAAACGCTCCAGTAGACTACGAAGCAGGTTACAGAACAATCGGCAACCCGAGCTCAATTTCTCTTGACACAACATTCCATAATCGAGCCTTCTGTCAGTTTAATTTCATCGTCAAAGCCAATTGTAAGTCTGTCGGCGCATCTGTTGTTACTGTAAGTTTCATTTTCCAAAAATCACATTTCTAAAACATTTCATTTCAGATGATCACCGCGAACAATCGAAATTCGGTCTCCTTCCCCGTCTATTGTGCTAGTTTCAGCTATGCCAGTGAGTGATTTCGGAAAACGTGTGTTTTGATATTTCATGTGTTTAGAAAAAATCTACAACAATTTTGCTGCTGAAACACAAAATATGAGACAATTAGAGTTCGAGCAGTCTTTTTCAAAAGGTTGGTTTTTTATTTTACCGAATATTTTGAAAGTATAATTTTTTAGACTTTGCCTGTGGTTCTGACATTGCTCCCGAGAAAACAGGAGAACGCAGTTTCATTATTGTCGCTGAGAATAGCAATGACACTAATGTAACCAAGTAAGCTTTGAAACAACTGAAAAAATTTTAAAAAATTCTCATTTTAGATCTTCTGTTGATAACTTGTTCCGCAACAAAAACAGTTTCTTCTATCAGCTCATTGACCCACTAACGTTAGTTCCGTCGTCCCGATACTCCAATTTCCTAGCCGTACTGACAAATGGAGAAACCTATCAAATCAAACAGGTTAGTTGAGGACAAAATTTCATTTTCCATGTTAATTCTACAGCATACTGATTACGGAAAGTTCATGACAAAAGTTCTGAGTTATACTAACACTTCATCATCTGGCGCAGATGTTTCTGTGCCAATATCTGTGAAAGACATGTTAGTTGACGCCATCGAAAACGGTTCACTATACTCAGGTGCGTGTTTTATTTTCGGAGTTTCCAAATTCAATTCATTGATTTTTAGATATTCTGTTTGTTGTTAACTTTAATGTGAGAATGAGTGCTGATGATTCTCTTGCAATTAAAACTGCATTAGGAACAAAGAGATCTAAGGTAATAACATGGGGAGACCAAAACACTCCTGGAAAAATAATTTTTATCGGGACGACGGAACTAACGTTATTTTTATCGGGACGACGGAACTAACGTTATTTTTTTCAGTTGTTTGTTCTATTTGTGCAAAGTTACACGCAATATGGATCCGATGTTTATCAATACATGAACGACTTGGCAATTGCCAGTGGTGGTATTGCTGTCCGACTAGATAACTATGATGAATTGCATACGGTATTACTACAATTAAGCTATTGTGAAAGAAAATCGATTTTTCCAGTTCTTCACGTTATATTTCCCCACACTTATTGCCAATGATATTGTTGCAAAAGCATACTCAAGTGATACAAAACCTGGAATTGCTCTGAACAACGTTTATTTGCAAGAGCAAAAATATTATCTTCTGTTGACAAACGAAGATTCAAGTGAAGATGGACCAGTTAATGGTGAGCAGATAATTGTCTAATAAAATGAATAATTGAATGTGCAGGCACTATACAAAACGAGAACATTAGTGTAGCATCCACCCAAACTATTGGAGAACTTCAATTGTTGACTATTCAACCACAGTCTGCCGGTGTCTATAATATACCAATTCGATTTGCCACCCCTGCAAAAATTGTGAGCTTCACTTATGTTAGAACACATTTTAACCAGTTGTATTTTACTTTAAGTCGAACGCTATTCTCTACGCAACCACAGATTCTACGGATATAATTAGTCTTTCGTTTGTCGATAAAGATGGTAAAAATAGAAACGATGTGGAATATCAATGTGAGTTAATTTTTTTGTTCTCCCGAGTTAACTTGTTATTTTGCAGATGGAGCATTCCGGCCAGTGATTTACTCTACTACCCCATTCAACAGCAGTTCACAAATTTCAATCACTTACAGCGATCCGGCCAACCCAGCAAAAGTTTATAACTACATATCATAAGAGGAAACTAAATTTTGGTTTTCAGCCTATCTACAACGGATCCATTATTCCTGTTGAAGGGTGTGAAGAGTTCAAATGGACGACAAACTATGACTGGATTTGTAGTGTTTCCGGAGGGCTATATCATGTTAAGGTGAAGTGTTAAAACTAGGTTTTCAAACTCTCTAATCTTATTTTTCAGATCGACAGTCCCTCAAACAGCGTAACCAGAACTTTTCCAATCACTTGCCTCGGTCCTGATGCAGGCGGATGTTTGAACGGAGGACATGAGGAGGTAATGCGAAACTATAAGTAATTGCAGAATCTTTACATTGTCATTCACAGGGTGGCGTGTGTTCTTGTCCTCTGGAATGGAGTGGTAATAGCTGTCAAACTCCAAACTGTTTGAATGGAGGTGAGATTTTTTTGAAAATTAATTTGAGCAAGAAGCGAGAAAAGTGAAATTAAATTAAACTACACGAAGTAGAGTTAGAAAAATGAATTAATTCCTTATTTTTCATAATGTTTCATAAAAATCGCTACTAAAATACAAACACTTCAGGAACTGTGACTACTGCTGACACTTGTGCTTGCAATCCGGAGTTTACTGGAAGCTTCTGTGAAAGTTGTAAGTTCAATTTTTTAATTTGAAACTGCTTATGGTGCGATTTGAGCTGTCTCTGCTTGCAACAACGTACCATCTCAACCTGACTACCGTTCCGATCTTTCTTCTTTAACCATCGTTGCCGATGTGAAAGCTCTCGTTACCGGAGGCCTTACAGACGATTTTGGAGTTACTGGAGTGCCCATCACTGTCATTTTATGTAAGTTATTCATTTCCTATTCGGCACTAATGTTTTTTCTTTTTTTTAGATGGTGATGACATTAGTCCGAGAATCGTCGAATCAACCACGAACAGCATGCATTTGTTGGATGCTTTGAAAAATCGTAATTCGACTGCTGTCTCCCCATCGACATCTCCAGCTGATAGCGATATGTATGCAGCTCTGAAACTTGCACTGGATAACCAGGTACTATTGAACCAACAATTTGGAATAGCAACGTTATTTTGCAGCTTACAAACCGAGCTCTTTTTGTTGTCTACACCTCAAATGCTGATGTTTCTGTGAATAGTGACTTCCTTATCCGGTTAGCAACAAGAAGAGCTGAAGTCCGAGTTCTCTCGGTTGCAGGAACAGAGAGTCAGAATTCGTTGGCACTGTCATTGGTTGGAAATGGAATACCTTTTGCTGTAAAAGAGTCTACCAATTTTCAAAAAGTAAGTTACAACATATTGTGTAGGTTTGAATAACACTTTTTAGTATATGACGGTGTATGTGGGTCCATTGTTCCAATCGCTCGGTTACACAGCAAACAAACCACAACGCGTTTTTAATGTCTTCAAAACCGATTTCTTCACTAGGCCAACCAATGTAACGATTCCAAAGGATTCAACGTTCGACAACGCTCGAGTAGATGCATTTGTGCATGTTTATAATGGACGTGTTGATTCAGGTTAACTAGACAGCACGAATTGATTACATAAACTATTTTAGACAACCCAATAGGTAGTCGGATAGGAAACACAAATATTTATCATATCAAAGATTACGATCCCAAAGGTAGTTTTATTTTAGTTAAGTGCTAGACCATTAAAAATTGTTCCAGTTGAACAAAAAATTCAGTTGAATTTGTTTACAATTAACACAGTTGGATACTATGCGATAGAGCTGGTTGGTTACTCAAAGGTATGCTGTTCTATGACTGCTTAAAAACGACAAATCTCCATAATTCCAGACAGCTTACGGTTTCAACGATCCAAAAGACAATCCGAATGGGGCCAATGAAATGGTTAATTCGGGAGTGAGCTTCAACGAAGTCAATCTTCTTCATATTTATTCAACCCCATTCGATGAGATTGCTCCATCGAATCCTGGCAACTTCCCATACTTGTCTATCAAAGAAATTTTGGGAAATGGAACACTATCCGCGCCAACGACATTATTGTTCACTCGAAAAAGTTCAACTGGTTGCTTTTTCAAGTATTTCACTACTCTTGACGTCTGCTCTCAAAGTGGAACAGTTGGTTATCAAGTACAGGTACAAAATGGTTCCAGCAAAAGTATCTTGGACACATTATGCCGGTTTTCCGCAATTGTCCAACAGCATTTTCTGTCAAGTCTCTGCTACAGGGAACCTCAATACCTTGTAAACTCAGATTTCAATGAAAAATTTAGACTAGGTCAAGAGTAGCCTATCTAGACACTCTCGCAAATTTCAGAATTGGTTCACCAGTTACAACCTCGTTATATCAGTTTCAATACCAAAACTTACGTTTTCGGTGCAAAAAAACAAATTTTCGAAAAAATGTCTGAAAGTTAAAGTTGGAACACAACAAATTTCGTGATCTAAAACGTCCTAAAAATTGAGAGAATTCTCTTTGAAAGTCGATTTATTGGCACTGAATACGCGATTCGTGGTATTGAACCTGATATAACCTGACTGAAACTGGTGAGCGGATTCTACAAACTTTCGAATTCTAGATAGGCTATTCTTCATATTTACTGAAATGTTAATCGAAATATAAATTTACGTGTTGTTGAGATTCCTTCGTAAGAATACAAAAAGACCGTC